ATATTATTAGTAATATTACCTAAGTATATAGCTGTAATAAATAAAGTATCTTCTCTGTTATAACGTAGAAAATATACAGGACTAGCCACGCACTTAGATAACCGCACTCAGATAGCAGCATTAATAGCGTATCTATAATAATATAGAGAACTCTTACTGTCAAGCTACTATGCCGCTAATAAAGGCATCTGTATAATACATAACTCTTTATATAAGTACTATAGAATAAGAGATTAATATAACCTCTTTAGCAAAGTATAATCTCTTTTAAAAGAAAGCTACTGCTTCTAGCCTTATAGATACTTTATTAGATCTTTTATACAGATTAACTAGTAGTACCTCTTATGTTTAATAAAGAATTATATAGAGTAAAGCGCTAACTATATTATAAATAGACTCCTTAGCTTATGTTTTAGTAATTTAGCTGTTCCTAATCCGTATACCCGTTCAACAAGACTAATTATTTATCCCTATAATATCGCTAGTATATCTCTATAAGGCAGTATTTCCTTATTATTAGAGACGCTTTATCTAGTATAGATCAAGCTTATATTAATTATTATAGCATATAAATATGCTAAGTACTAATAGGCACTACAAAGCTGCCTAGCATTTTATAAGAGAACTATAATAAACTTGAATAAGACTAGACTCTAAATTATATATATAGTTAGACTTAGATAATATAATAATTAGAGATGATTAATAAGGTTACTTATCTCTGCTTGCTACTAAGCACTATTAAGCATATATAGGTTACTTATCTCTGCTTATTACTAAGTAAGACTAAGCATACAAATCTCTTATCTATATAAGTATACTTCTTTTACAGATAATTAGATAGTTCTTTTTACTCTGTAGTCAACTTATGTTATTAGCTTACATCTAAGTTAAAGACATCCTAGTATTATTTATTATACTTTTTATTCTATCTAACTAATCCTTTAGATTTAGCTTCTAATTAAGACTTGTCTTAACTAGTTAAGCCCTAACACTTTAACTATTACTCTTAAGAATACTAAGTATAATTAAATAAATATTATATATATTATCTAAGGCATATATTATGTTAGTTACCTTAGGACTTATTACTACTATTAAGGGCTAAAAAAGAAATATATAGTTTAAAGTTACACTCTTAACTACTATTAAGGGCTAAAAAAGAAATATATAGTTTAAAGTTACACTCTTAAATCTCTTTTATAAAGACTAGAAAAGACTTTAAGAATTCTTAAACTAACTAAAAATCAACTTCTTATTCTATATATAAGTAATAGACATAAATAAAAAGAAAGTATTATATATAGTTATCTTTCTTTAAGGGGCTATATAACTAGTTTAAACCTTATCTTAAGGACAAGCTTAAGAAAGTAATAAAGAATTAAGAACTAGATATATAATAAATCTTTTATAGCTTTACTAACTTTATAATTAAGATTAAATAAGTATATAAGGACACAGATATAGTTAAGGAAGCTAAATAAGACCTACTATATATAAGACAGAAGAGATCTACTATAGACTACGCTTCTAAGTTTTACTAGATTACCTTACAAATTAATTAGGAGGATACTGTACTAGCAGCCATCTTTTATAAAGAACTAAAGGATTTAGTAAAAGATAATCTATCTAAGATTAATTAGCTAAGTAAATTATCACCTTTATTTAAGATAATAATTAAAATAAATAATCAGAATTATAAAAGATAACTTAAAAAGAAAAAGAACTATATTATATTTCTAATATACTATTAAGTAAACACGCAAAAATCTAAGTGAAGGATCTAAGGATACTACCTAGTAAGAGGAAGTAGGCCTATAGATCTAGATATTATTTAATAAAGAAACAATTAAAAGAATTTAAGAAAGAATAACTAAAGTAATAAAAAGATTTCTATAAAAGAAAGAGAAAAAAGATTTAAAAGAAATTTATATTTGTATTATAAAAAACTAGAACACAGAGCTAAGGAATATAAGATAAAAAACTAATAGCTAAGTACTATAAAGGAAATTCTAAAAGACGAAAGTTATAAGCTCTAAAAAAAGAACTAGATAGATAAGAAATTTATAAGAAAAAAAGATAACCTTAAGAAAGCATTATAAGGATAACTTAAAAGAAGTATACTAGGAATATTATATAATTTATTATCTTAGATTACTTATTATAATAATAATTATACTATATATTTAAGTAATAAGAATAATATAAAGTAGTATCTATAGAAATCTAGATTATATTAGTTACTTAATACTCTTTTTATATATAATAATAATAAACTAGTTACTAGTAACAGACAGACACCTCTATATAATGCTGGTGACTAGTATCTCATCTCTGTTAGAGGCAGAGATGAGAGAAGCAAAGATCTGTCTATAGGCAGCGCGTGGGATACGCTGTCGAGTCGCCTTGGGGCTATCTTATCGAACGGGCTCGTGTCAAGTATGAGCTGAACCTATGCGATGAAATGTCAAGAATGAAATCACATTCCCATGGTCGTTTTGGCAAAGAAGACGATAAGTGGGGATTCAATCAAACCTCCACCATACGCATTACGGGCCGACATACCATCAATATTTGGCGCGCTATGCGTGGGGAACTGAATCTACTGCAGTATACCATGGAGAACGTTGTCTTCCATCTCTTGCATCGTCGGATTAGATATACTGTTGAGTCGCAGCTGCAGCGAAAGTGGTAGGGATGGTGAGTTAAAAATTTTCACACCGCTGAAAATTTTCACTGCAGGCAGTCAACAATAACACTATCAAACAACAGCCACTTCTCTCATTGTACGCCTGTTACAATAATCCTTCGAAATCGAGTCACTCTGTATTAGTGACTGCCTGATTCCTTAAAGAAAACCTGGTTTGAGACACCTCCCCTCTGGAATCGACATAGCCATCCGCTGGCTATGCGTTTGGGACACGCATTACAAGCAACCTTGGCGACACAGTATCAGTACTGTACGCCAACTCAATTTAATATATAGAATCCTGTTTCTACTTTATAGTTTCTTTTTCTAGCCTCTTTTATTAAATAATATAATATAAATTATAGATAATAAAAGCGTGTTTATAAGCCTGTTCTTAATAAGAATATAATAAAGATAAGAGATTAGAAATATAATATATAAATTTGCTAAAAGACTAGGAAAATAACTAAAGAAAATAAATATATAAAAAATAATTAATTTTTTTATATTGTGGCTGTGTAAAATTATTATAAAGTTGTAAGATAAAAGAAAAGTGCGCGGGTCGCTTGTATACACGGGTCACTTATAAACCACGTTATTATAATAATCTTTTAGCTAATTAATAAAACCTGTTTCTTTTCTGAGATATTAATCTAATATCCTTTATCCTTATTAACTTAATTAGGCAACTGCCTCTTTTTATAACTAAGTATTAGTTTCTAACTAAATCACAATCTATATACTAATATTATCTTTGTAAAAATTTATAAATCTCTTAAGAGCGACAGAAATCAGTATTAATGTTTATGTCTACTTATTTATAAGATAAGATAAAGTTATGTAAAGCATAAAAGAGGAGCTAGTTAACTTATTAGCAAACTGTAATAGAGATAATATAGTATAAATATAAGTAAGTATGTTTTAAAGCAAGAATATTAGGCTAAAGCAGCTCTAATATTATTAGGAGATAGAGTTTAATAAAGAGATAAAGAATAAAAGAAGAAGATACACTTAAGTAGGATAGGAAATAACAAGATTTTGTATTAATAAGCAAAATATATAC